TTTGGGACTCTGTGCTTCCTGGGTTTGTATGTGTATTTCCATCACCAGGTTAGGCAAGTTTTCTGTCATTATTTTTTCAAATAGGTTTTCAATTCCTTGCTCTCTCTCTTTTCCTTCTGGTACCCATACAATGGGCACTCAAATGTTGGTATGCTTGATGTCCCAGAGGTTCCTGAAACTATCCTCATTTTTCTTTTTTTGCTCTTGTGATATTGGTTCGATCCTCTGCTTCATCTAATCTACTGTTGATTCTCTTTAATGTATTCTTCATTTCGGTTATTGTATTCATCATTTCTGACTGGTTCTTTTTTATGTTTTCATTTCTTTGTTAAAGTCCTCACTGAGTTTATCTACTCTCCCTGAGTTCACTGTTCATTAAGTCCTTATAACCAGTGTTTTTGACTCTAAAGGATAGCTGTAGATTCTTTTTTTGATTCTAAAGGATACATCTGGTAGATTTCTTGGCTTCATTTTGTTTAGTTCTTCCTCTGGTGCTTTGTTCTGTTCTTTCATTTAGGACTTGTTTCTCTGTCTTCCCATTTTGGCTGCCCACTTGTGTTTATTTCTATGTATTATGTAGGACTGCTATGTCTCACGGTCTAAATAGAGTAGCCTTCAGGTATGCTTTCTATTTTCCATTAGTTTCCATTAGGCTCTCTTCAAAGGCTCTATTGCAAGAAATACATACTTTGATAATATCTTTTATTGCACCTCCTTTTAAATAAGTCCAATATCATTCTCTCAAGGGTCTGATCATCCTTTCAAGGTATTCACCACAGAGCAATAAAAGAAGAAGCCAGATGATAGGAAGCTGAGGAAAATGGAATAGAAGATTCCATTTTCCAGCCTTACGTCACATGAGATTAGAATACACCACTCATTAGCACTTCTTTTGCACTAATGTCCTAGCCTCTGCTTTCTCCCCTTATTCCTTGAAGATTTGAGCACAGCAAGCTTCTCTACTCTTAATCCTGTCATTGTTCTCAGTGATTCAATATTCATAATGATAGTATTTTCAAATACCTGAACTTTCAAACCTAGATCTTCTCTGTCGGTGATCTTGTACTGTACTCCACAACTTAGGTCCTTGATCTTACTTTAGATCTTCTCCACTTTAATAACTGCAGCCCCTCCAGAATTTCAACCATTCCACTGTCCAACCACCAATCCTGTCCTTCTTGTTTGCCCTGACTCAAAAATCCTTGTATTTCTCAGTACTTACAACCCATTGATCTTATAATATTTCAGTCTCAAACCTCTTAGTGTCCTTACTTTCATATTTACAAGGTTAAATTTTATGGTCCGTCATTATAATCATTACATAGAACCTCATACAACCTCAGCTGCCTTTCCCTTCTCTCACTTTATTATATTCATTAGATAAACAATAATTCTGGTTAGAATCAATTCTCTACAGTTTTGTCCCTGTTCCCAGTGTACTGAATGGGACTGAAGAAAAACACATATTCCTGATGACTAGTCTTAACTTTAGTAACTCATTTCAGTTGGGCTGTTGTAATGCTGCCAGGTATTTCTACTATATTTGCTTAGTTCATTTACTCTCTCATTCTCTTAAGTGACTATTTCAGATATTTTACATTGACATTGAACTCTGACATCTGCTATATCATTCTTAATATCTCTCTATAGCTTTGCTTCTTTTTTTTTTTTCAGAGTAAATAGAAATAATCAAGAAGAATTTTCATAAACTTCTCTCATCACGTCACTCGAAGACCTCTGTCTGGCCTGTATAGCTTCTTTATCTCCTGTTAGTATGGTTATACTGCTCATACCCTTATCTAAGGCTACTCTCTCCACTAGTGCCCTAAAGTTCATTTTCTCTCACTTGTTCAAGGACATCATTCCAAGAATTCTCCTCTCTCCCTTTAGTTTCATTATTTCCCCCTTTCTATGGATTTTTATCATAAGCATGCACATATTATTTCTCCAAATACAAAAAGCATCATCCATTTTTTTCCTAGTTCCTCCCTCATCTCCAGGAGTTCCTTTCTTATATCTGACCCCTTCAACGAGCCTTTCTTGGCCACTATTAACAATTGCACATTCATTCAAAACTTCCTTTTTTCTTTCTCTGCTTTATATAATGTAGAAAATTATAATTATTTTTTATTTTATTACCATCTGTGAATCTGCTTAGTATCTTTCTCTTCTCATTAGAATAAAAGCTACATGAGGACTGTCATTTTATTACTCCTACATCCCACACCTAAAACATCGCTTAGCACACGGAAGGATTTTACATAATTATTTGTTGAAAGAATGAGTGAAATAATCAAGGTAGCTAAGGTTAACTTTTTAAGAAAAAATTGCCGTTTGAAAGAAGGGAGATAGTTTAAAAGAGAAACATGGGTGCTTTGGGGAGCATTCATTTTCAGATAGAGGAAATGGTGGATATTTGTTGCTTTAACTGGGCCCCTTCTTCTGGAATTGGTCCCCTGCTTTTCCTTTGGGAAATTCCCTCTTTCCCATAGTTCTTTGTGGTTCATAATTGACCATGGTTTCTCCACTGTGACATTATTGACAAGTTGAACCAGATAATTCTTTGTCGTGGGGGACCATCCTGTGCATTGTGGGATGTTTACCAGCATTCCTGGCTTCTACTCACTAGATGCCAAAACACACCCCTCTTCTAGCTGTAATAAACAAAAAAGTGTCTGCAGATATTGCCAATGTCCTCTATGGCACTGTGATCACCCTACCTGAGAACTGTTGAGGTAGATCAATCCTACCCCCAGCTCCAAGCATGGGCAGGCAGTTCAGGCCTTGTTCATCTGCTATTTCACTGTCCTGGCCCTAGTAAGTGCTTTAGTTGGGGGCATGTGACCTCATATGGACAAAACAAGCTAATGCATGGACTTTTGAAGGAATCATTGGAAAAGAGAAATTCCTTGTGCTGGAATGCTAAGCTGATGAGATATGTGTTTGCCATTGTCAGCAAATATTTTACAGTTTTAGGGACTGTCCAGAGAATGAAGCCAGCAGTGAAAAGCAGAACCAGGGGCTAGAACAGATTCCTGAGGATAGGCTTTGAATATTTAATTCCTGTTTTGACTGAAGCCAGTTGTATCCTTGACCTTTTCTGTCATGTGATAGAATAAAACCCTGTTTTGGTCTAAGTCAGTGTGTCACAGATGAATGAGTTCTGATTTGAGCAGGTTTGCAGATGGAAAGAAGGCAATAATGAAAGAAGGTATAACTGATGGAGCAATGTCCTAGAAGAAAGAGAAAGGGATGAAAGAGAACAGTATAGTCTGTGAAAAGTGGTAGGTGGAAATGAGGATATAGATGAGTGGATATAGATAAGCTGGGAGATGGAGAGGAATTTATTGTTACCTTGTGATGTCTGCAAAAGAGAGGAAGGGAAAATAGACTAGACGGATTGAGGTATAAGAACAGATAATTTAGAGAAATAAAAGTGGGACTGTGAATGAATAAAAGATGCTCAATAGCACACAACTTCTGGATACATATCTAAAAGAACTGAAAGCACTACTTTAAAGAGATATTTGCAAACCCCCCCAAGGAGAAAATAAGTCAAATGTTTATCAACAAATGAATGTACAAAGACAATGTTGTGTATATGTGCAATGAAATATTATTTAGTCTGAAAAAGGAAAAACATTCTGACACATGCTACAATATGGACAAACCTTGACATTATGCTAAGTAAAATAAAACTGTCACATAAAGGTAAACATTGTATGTTTCCTCCTATATGAAGTAGCTAAAATAGTTAAGTTCATAGAAACAGAAAGTAGAATGGTGGTTGCCAGGGACTGGAGGCAAAGGAGAATGTGGAGTTATTGTTTAATTGGGATAGCATTGCATTTTTATAAGATGAAAAAGTTCTGGAGATCTGTTGCACAATAATGTGCATATACTTAACAGTTCTATATACTTAAAAATGGTACAGATGGTAAATTTTAAATTATATGCTTTTTATCACAACTAAAATAAAAACAAAAAAGATGCCAAAGAACATACATACTCTAAGAAAAGATGAGGAGAGTGAATTTGTGGTAGCCAGGGAGCAAGGTTTTATTTCCTCAATAGTTTAAATGTTGGAATGGAAAAAATTGACAGCTGGAATTAGAGTGTGGTCAGAGTGGAAAAGCATGATGATGAGCTGGGGAAGGTGTCTGCTGGACAAGTATGAGAAAGTCTTGAGGATGAGGAAATTGAATTTGTGAATTGAAACCATGGCCAAAAAGACAAAGTGATAGGATCCAGAATGCATAAATTTAAATTAAGTACTCTAAAAACCCTAAGACTATGTCTGTATTCAATAGTTCATTGACTCCAGAAAAAAATCAAAAAGGCAAGTTTTTTTTAAAATATAAAATGTATTTGAATGACTAATATACATATTATTAAGTGATATTTTACAATCACCCAGCGCTTTTGACAAAACTGCCAAGGAAACATCCAGAGCTTGAATTATACACCAAAACTTTAGAATTAAAACTTGACTCCCATAACTTAAAAAAAAAATGTGCAAATTGGAATTACTGAGTGATTATGGAAAGGCAGCAAATAAACCAGTAACCAATAAACAATAGCCAATAAACCACTAATCAAAGGCAGTAGATTGTGAAAAAAACCTCAAACTAAGTAGAAATAAAAGTGAAATGTTTAACCATATCTGAGAAGGATGCTACTATTAAAATCAAACTTCCCAACAAAGGTATGTGCATAATAACCACAGGAAATGCTTCACACTTTATTTAAATAATTAAAATCATATTGTGACAAAAAGTACATGGTAACAGTAAGTATGCTGATTACAAAACGAAGAGTCTAGACACAAGCACAGCTCAGCTCTTTTTAGTGCCTTCCTTAAAAAAGTGACACTTTCAGAGCTATGTAATTGTTTATAGTCATAGCCTGACTCTAGGCACATCACAAGTGAGGCTTTAAAAACTTGAAGATTATGTGGCAGGGAAATTGGGCTCCCATCTTTATCATTAAGCAAACTTTGTTCTTCTTGAGAATAAGTGCATATAGGAAATTGTAGCTTATGAAATCATTTAATTGATGCTGAGACCATACAAATAGACTTGCTGATACTCGAATGGTTTCTTTCCAGACCATGTTCAGTTTGCTTGGATTCCAAGCAAGAAGGCACACTGAAATAGATAATTTGTGTTAAGGTGGCAGCATGAATACCACAGTGCAAATCAAAGTTTAAATAATGAGAGTATTAACATTCCCTGTGTATACCAATTATAAGTGCTATTACTAATGCATAGAGACTATTAGAAGATATCATTCTACTAAGAGGTCCTTCTTCAGATAATATGACCTGGAGTAAACAATAGTTACATTTTATATTGATAAATATGGATAAAATTGAGGGAAAAACTCAAACAATAGTCTAATTTCATTCATTCATATATTTATTCAACAAATACTTATGTAACAGCTTTATTCTAGACCCCCACTGGTTTGGATTTAGGGATCACTCTGGCATGGCTTCTCATGTTCTCTTTACTTTTTCTACAATTTGCCAGCAGCAAGTAACCTTTTCTTCTCCACTGCTAGACCAGTTTTTCTATATCTTGTTTATGGCATGTATTCTTACACTATGATATATATATGTCTTTTTTTTTTTTTTTACTACAATAAGTTCCAAGAGAGTAGAAGTGGTATCTTTATGTTTTATAGATGTTGTAGGAGAAAGCAGTTTGAAAATGAATTTGAACTTGAATTCTACCTTTGCCAATTGCTGACTTCGAGGCCTTGGCCAAGAGAACATTTTAGCCTTGGTTTTCTCATCTCAGGTACTGTATGCTCACCTTAGTATTATCCTGAGATAACACTTATCCTTTAATATTGCAATTGGGGCTAAATGAGATAAGGCTTGAAAGTCCCATGACATAATGCCTGGGCATAATAAAACTTCAATTGTTCTCCTCCATTTTCTCCTGGGAACCTCAGCAGGACCTTTCATATTGCTTGTCAACCTTTCTATACTCTATCTTTCAATCATCAGCTCTCAATGTGGCTATTTCATGCCTTCTCCTATTAAATCTCTATCATCTCCTTCCTCAATCTTCCTCTCAGATGACTATTTTGCTTTGTATTCACTGAGAAAACAGAATCATTAGAAGAGAACTTCCACACATACATTCACTGTCACATCTCCCCACCTACCTTCATCTGCACCTATATGTTCTGCCCTCCCACATAAATTCTGCACTCCCCTGCTTGAGAACTATATCCCGTTCCTTCAGGCTTTCCCAGACATTGCTCCAGTAGTTTTGCCTTTTCTCTACTGCCATCATTTTCCCCCTTTCCACTAGATCGTTCTTATTAGCAGACATCGATACAATCATATGCTTTTCCACTCTTAAAAATATTTTCCTTAACTTATTTACTCTTGCCATCACTCTACTTATCTGCTCTTCCTTATAGAAAAACTCCTTGAAAGAGTTGGCTGTAGTTGATGTCTCCAGTTTGTCTTCTCTTGTTCTTCCTTAAGCTCACTTCAATCAGGGTCTTGCTTCCTTCCTCTCCACAAAAACAGTTCTTGTCAAGTTCACTGAAGAGTTTTGTGCTGCTAAATATAACGGGGACTTTTCACGGCTCATGTTTCTTGATCTATCAGCAGCATCTGACAGAGTCGATCACTCCTTCCTTAAAATCCTTCCTTCGCATGGCTTCTAGGACACAAAACTCTGGGGGTTTTCTCCTGTATCAGTGGCTGCTGTTTCACTCCTTTTTTGGTTTCTTCTCAACCCACGAGTCCAAATGTTGGAGGATCCAAGGCTCAGCATGTGGACCTTTTCTTTTACCCAGGCTCCTTCACCCCTCTGGTGATCTTATTCAATTTTTTTTTTTTTTTAATTTATGTCTATTTGCTGACAAGGCCCAAGTTTTTACTTTGAGCTTGGACCTATTTTGTACATCCACTTGCCTTCTTGACACTTCTACTTGGATGTCTATTTGATATGTCACACTTCACATCTCCAAAGTGGAACTTCTAGCTTTTCTCCCCAATCCTGCTTTTCACATTCTCAGTTAACCTAATTAGTGGCAATTCTATCCTTCCACTTGCTCAGGCCTAAAACCATGGCATTGTCATTGACTCCTCCCTTGCCCTCAGATTCTGATACAAACTGTCAGCAAAGCTTAGTGTCACTATCTTAAAAATGCATATAGAACCTGACTTCTTCCCACCAGCTTGGTGATAGCCACTCAGAACTTCTTACCTGGATTATTGTGCTAGAGGCCTCATCGATTCCTCATCTTTCTCCCTTGTCTTTCTATACTCCATTCTTAACACAGCAGTTAAGGTGATCATTTACTCCACTTCAAACCCTCCAGTGGTTTCCATCTCAGAATAAACACCAATCTAATTACAAGGACCTGGCAAACTCTTCATGATAGATCATCCCCAACTTCCTCCCCTCACCTCTCTGATTTCATCACTACCATTTTCTCCCTTGGTCAGTCCATACAAGGCCACACTGGCCTGGTGTGCATCTAGGACAGCATATAATACCTTGTGGTCTTTATACTTAATGTTTTTCCCTAGGATGTTTTCCCCCTACAAGGCTGGCACATTACTTCACTCAAGTCTTTGCTCCAATGCCATTTTCTTAGCGAGGAGTTCCCTTCCATGTACTCCGCTCTTATTATCCCCTTTTCCTGCTTTATTTCTCTTCATAATACTTACCATCTTCTTATGTTATTTTAAATAATTTTTTACTTATTTAAGTATTTGTTGAATGGATGAATGAATTAAAAAATAGGGACATTAATTGGCAATAGGACACACGTAAGTTAATAATTTCTATGCATTATTACTAAAAAAATTGTGCAGTTGGACCATATATACTTAGTACTATGCTTGTTGATAAATAGAAATTGAGGAAAATTTTGACAGAAATTAACAAAACTATTTCAATTTCTTTAGATACCAGTTCATCTTCTGATTAGCTTGCTGGGTTGTATGGATCAACAGAATACACTTCTCGTGTTTCTAAATGAAGATCTCCTTCTGTAGGTCTTTTATTTGTATAATAATTGCTGAATGGAAGAAGAAGAAGAAAGTAAAATCTTTACTTATTGGACATGATTACTATAAAGATGTAACAGTTGTTTTCTTTCAAGAATTCCCAAAAACACTGTAAGTACTTTTCATGGATGATTATATTTTATTGTCCTAGGTAATCCATGAAGTAATCATAATCCCCATGTTTTGGAAATAAGTAACTTGCTAGGCTGCTAAGTGTCCAAGTCAGAAGTTGACATTAAGCAGCTTTACCTCAGATCTAGGACTCTTGATGACTAGTCACTATGATCCTCAGGCTTGAAAAAAAAATCAAAAAGCAGCTTTTATTTTATGATATCATAAATTTACCAATTTGGGACACAATCTTTCAATTTAATTTAAAAAAAAATTTTTGTATTTGATGTTTAATTCAAAATCCTGACAGTCATACAGTACTAAAAGCTTTAAATGATTCTTAAGGGCAATTTTAGTTTTTTTGTCTTTGAAAGCATATATATTTCACTGTGCTTCTACAACCACTTTTCTTAAATTAGCAAAGGACAATACAATGTGTTTCTACTATCATGTGGAACTCTGAAATAAAGTATTACAAAATATTAAATTTTGTACAAGACATCCATTTTTAATGATTACTCATCTCACAAGAAGTCTTTAAGACAGTTGAAATGTCTATATCAACTATCAGAAAATACAGTAATGTTGGTTAGAAAATGGAAATAAAATGAGAGTAATGCTTCAGAATTTAGTTTAACATATACGTTTGGTTCATATCAATTGAGGCATGTAAATAATAGTATGTCCTATAATTGTGTTAACAAACTTAATAATAATTAGACTGGAACATTATAAATTATTAGAGCTTGTAGGCATTTCTAAAGGCTGCAAAATTTCCTACACATGCCATGTCCTGATAGCAAATTTAGAAGCATGAAGGAAAGAGATAGAGACCACATTTTCTATTTATTTTAATTCGTAATTACTCTTGGCTAAAAATATTTTCTTACTTCCTGTGAGGGAAGCCAAAAAATATCCCTATTTTTTTCTTGAGACCTTTTTCTCTCTTGAATTCTATGAAACTATTCTCTCCTAGCTTTCCTACCTCTGATTGTTCCTTCCCATCCTGCCTTTTAAGCATTACTGTCCTTCTAAAATTGGTTCTCATGCCTATTTTTACCTTTTATGTTCTTTCTGGTCCCAAGGCTTAAACTGAAATTTAAATGTCACCTACCTGAGTCCAGGCCCCTCTCTCACACTCTGCATCACTGGTGCCACAAGTGGCAGGTCAGAATTGAACTTCTTTCCCCACAAACCTGCCCCTCTCTTCTTTTTGTGAAACTGGGGACCACTCAGTGACCTCCACTTGATTCCATGTATGCCTCCTCCTCCCTACTTTCAGCAACACACTCAATCCCAGAAATCCTATCCTTTTAAGAGTGACAATATCTCTTACATCTGTACCACCCTCTTGATTCCTGCCACTGTCACTTTGGCTGACAGCCCAGTCCTGCCCTTTCTTTTGGAAATGCAAATCTGAACATATTTTTTCCTTGCTTAAGACTCTACAGGATAAACTCTAACTCCTTGTTAGGGCCTGTAGGCTTTTGAGGATCTAGCTCCTGACCACCTTCCTAGATTTCCCCAATGTCTGTTAAATGGAACATTAGTTCCAAGGGATGTCAAAAGCATTATATGAGGAAAAAAAGAGTTGTGCCATCTGGTTAGTATGGGAGACTCTGTTTTAAAAGGAAATTAAACAAGGTTCTGTAAATATTCCCATGGTGATTGTGAATCTTCATGAGAAATGTATGGTATGCAGTATTTTCCCAGTCTTATTTGGCCATAGAACACCTTTTCTCCTGAAGTTATTCACAACATCAGGGTTATGTGGCACACCCTCTGGTTAGCACTAGTATGAAGTACTTCCCAACTGTAGACCCTTGCCAGACCTGCCATGCTCAGGCCCTCCCAGGCTTAGAACAAACTACTCAGGTTCACAGATTCTATCATTACACAGTTTCAGTGTAACCCTTTCGTGTCTGATGCCTACACTAGGCTTATACAACTATGAACAATATAATCGGATGGCACCAGGTGACTTGGTATGTTAAAGAAATTTTTCTGGAATTTGTGGGTGACGTGTTTGGGGTGATGAGAGTTGGTTGTCTCTCACTGGAATTTGACACTTAGTAAGACGTCACCTGATTATCTTCCTAATACTTGAAAGTACAGAAGCTCGAGAACTTATGCACATAGAACATTCCCAGGCTGATATGGAATGGTGTCATCTGCTAAAAATATATCTTTTTCACATATCATAATATTCTGCAATTGCCTCAACATTTATGTGGCAAAGGAATATTTTATACCCTTGCCTCCACCCAAACCTATGTCACCTTCACCTTCAAACACATTCATACAATTTCGCTGTCATTTCACATTGCTTATGTAGTTATCACAATACGATGGAATGACAAGCCTCTGGGTCTTTACTTAAACTGCTCCTTCCACCTTGAATACCTTTCCCATCTTGTCTATACTCTTTTGAGGCTCACCTGAAACATGTCCTCCATGATTGAACTTTGATCAAAATTCCCAAGTACCAACCATTTGTTTTGTGTCTTTACCAAATATCACATAACACACTATGGCAGTATTACTTAATAGATTCAAATGTACCAAAAAATTAATAAATTAAAAATAAAATGTAAATAACATGTAATATAACAAAACAGAGAACCTAGTAATATACTTAAGTAGTCTTAAAACAAATACTGAGTGAGAGAAAGGTTACTTGAACAGATAGAAAGGCCTAGTATGTTTCTGAATGGGAAGACATTACAGAAAAGATGCCAATTTCTTGTGAATTAACCTATAGACTTTATGCAATCACAATATACAAAAAGAAACAAATGAAAGAGAATAGAAAGGAAAATCCTAAAAAAATTATTCCAAGGGGATTCTTGCCCTACCAAATATTATAGTAGTAGAAAGCTATATTAATTAAATATGAAGTGATTTGTGATGGAAGAATAGATCAATAAAGCATAAAAAGGAGGCCAGAAACACATGTCCATATATAGTAATTATTTGATATATGATTAAGTTAAAACAAACTTTCTAGAAAATCATTTGGCAATATTTATTAAGCACTTTAAATAAATAAAAATTTTCCCTAGTCTATAAATCTATAATAAGGAAATAAGAATATGTGAAAAGGTTATTTAAAAGTGTTTCTCATTTTTATTTGTTATCAGAATAAATGTGGAAACAATCTAAAATTTCCACAGTACAGAAATATTTAAGAACAATATGCTATTAAGTAGCTAAAAAGAAAATATGGCTTAAAGAGACAAAAAAAGTATATATATACAATAGGCTAAATGAAAAAAGTTAAGGCAGAAGAGTTAATTTTTCTCTTTTTAAACTGCCAAAATTTCGGTTTAAAAAGAGGAAAAGAGAAAGATCAGGAAGGAATATACCAAAATATTTGCAGTTGTTACCACTAGGATTTTTTTTTTCCTAGATTTTTTATAATGTATCATCTGAATAAACATTCCAATAAAATAAGTGCTTGATATCTTTTAAGATCTTACAGATAGGACTTTCTTCTATATAGCACAAAATACTTAATTCCAATTAACATTGCTATATTCATTTTATGTAACTTGAGCTTCTATTTGGTTTCAGGCAAGAAGACAAACCTTTTGTGCATTTTGGTCAAGCATGTATTAAACTTACCGTTCTCTGTGTTTTACTATCATGTGTAAGGTGACAATAATCAAGAAGATAAGAATTACTAAACCTGCAGAAAGACCTAGAAAACAAAACAGCAAGTATCAAATGCCAGAAAAATGTGACCTATAATTGTTTTGAAGTGATCATAGGCCCTATTGTGATGGGGAATATGGTATGTTACTTCTATACCTATCCTTCCTGAGCCATAGAACTATTGAATTTCTAATAATCATACTTGGGCGTAAGGTTTTCCTGAGTCAGTTCAGTCCACATTTAATCTAAAGCACCAAGCTTTTGACCATAGGATTCTAGTCAAGTTCTGCTGAGCTTTTCTGTTCCTTCTAGTTTTATTAGTAATATTCTTGTCACTGGGATAATATTAGGAACTCAGGGCACCAGGATCCCACAACTTTGCATAACAACATTTCATTCTCAGGTGTGAAATATATTTTTCTACTGCAGAATAAACCAGCCTATTTTGATAGGGCCAGATCATGTAAAAGACCAAATGTTAATGTTAACTAAACTTTTCAAATTTAAAATCTGGAAATAGTTGCCAGTTTAAATCAATTATTGTGATTTTTATCTAAAAGTGAGTTTATAATGTGAAGTGCACATTAAAATTCCCTAAAACACCAAAAAAGATAATTTCTTATGAATTAAGGAGAAAAAATTAGTAATACTCAGGCACAATATAGAATGTCAAATTTTGTATATATTTTTATAAAATATCATCAGAATCTTTTTAAAGTATTTAAAAAACTTACCACAAAGAAGGAGAGCCACTGAGCCTAAGGAGAATACAAATGACGAACATATTAGTCTAGTTTCATTATTCATTGTAGTCCCAAGTCCCACGGTATTGTCCTAGAAGTTGTCACTCACTTCCCTCTCTCGAAGTCTACTTAAAAAGACATATTAGAACCCTCGATTCTACCTACTCTTCCATCGTTTCTTAGGTAACAGCTCATTAGACTTCTTAAAAATTTTCACTTTAAGTAAGTTGGGGTAGTTCATCAATTAAAAAAAAAACAATATTCTCAGTATAACCAGGGATTGTTCAGGTTAGAATGCAAATATTAACTGTTGTAACAGGCTGGTTAACATTTTTGGAGGTCCCTGTGTAAGCACTTATAAATCTAGACTTAGCAATAAGAGAAGTCTCAGCAGCAACTCCTTACAAAATGCAAGGTTTAGCTTTGCACCTTTTAATTTAGTGCTCCTCTATTTCCTTTCTTTTCTTTTCTTTTCTCATCCTCAGAAAGTTTTCCTTTTTCTGGAATAGAGCACCAACTTCAGATTTGCCTATTACCTATACCACTGGTTACAGATCTATATCAATTTAAAACCCAGGAGAAGCTAACATTCAAGGATACCCCTCATTCCATTCTCTACAGTGAGACCAGTACCAGCTGTAGCAAAGCCCCTTACACTTACCTTGTGATTTGCAAACAGCCAGGGGAGGGTTCCATTGGTGATCCTCTTGGCACTGGCTCTGGGGACTGCCTTCCAGGGTATACCCATCTTCACACTCCAGTGTGACGACAGCTCCATACTGATACCTTTTTCCAGACTCCAGCCCCTTCTGGAATCCATTCATATATTCTGGGAAACTACAGTTTACCTCTGAAATTAAAGGAATCTAATTTACCAACAAAGTAGATACTGCTCTTAATGGAAAGGTTTATGAAACCAACTTAGTTCATTCTCCGTAAGTAAAGCCTCACTGAAATAACATAAAATGACATCTTAGGGAGAGCCTTTCAGTATCAGCCACGTATCTCAATAACCTCTATGTAATTTAAGCCAGATTATCCTTCTTTGTGCTTTAGTTTCTAAACTAATAGTATTAGATGATTTTAATGATTTGTTAGAGAAACGGTGAGGGATGAATGGGTAATACTAATTCTGAATTACTGTTTTATCAGCTTCTATTCTTACTCTCCAATTCTTAATACATGTACATGATTCCTTACTTGTTTTATTTTTCAGTGTAGGGATCAGTAGTGTAAGATTTTGGATTTGAATGCTGACTCTAGGACTTCTTAATGTGGGACTTTGGGAAAGTTATAAATCTCTGCATTCTACCGAGACTATTCATGTATAAGAATAGTAATGGCACCAACTTGATACGGTTCTCATGAAGATTAAATGATCATACATGCAAAATGCTGTGCACAGTATCAGGCATACAGTAAAAAGTGCTCAACTAATATTAGACATTAGTTCACTACTCATATTTCATATGTCTAATGAAAATGACATTCCGAAATTTTTATAAAGAAACACTCACAAGCTCATCATCACTGAGAGGAAATACACTGAAAAGATCATTGTTCTTTTTTATTAGTATTTTGTCAAATGTACTCTCATTATACTTGTAATCACAGGTAAATTCAATCTGCACTTTGGATGCTGAATTTACATAAGCATCTAACTTTCTATATTTAAATGACTACATAAGTGATCACTCATCAGATAGACTATATCCTAAGTCATCTTTCTTATTTTGTGATCTTTAGATTAATTAATGTATTTCCCAATTAAATGCATTTGATTAAATGATCTAATTAATGCATTTATTTGTCAATTTTAAGTTGAAAGAATCTAACAGAACATATCTATTTGTGACAAATTTGATTTAAAAATATTAAAAAGATAATGCACCTTTACAAATCGGGGCAGGTTGGCTCCAGGTTCCCTCGTGTGTGCAAATAAGGAGAGCATCTCCCACCAGCAAGTAGCCTTGGTCACAGCTGTACAAGATTGACATTCCAGGAGAAAATCGAGGTATATTTCCACCAGTATGATTCCCATTGTGGATCTTAAATGGAAGTTGACATCCTAAGAAAGCTTAGACACCAATAAAAAAAAAAGATCTTTAATTTAGCCCAGAGAAACACACAGCCAGCACTATCTATGAGTTAAAGTGATACAGAAAGAAGGTAGGCAACAAGCCAACTAATTGGTATCTAGAAATATTTGTTCACCCAAACCATTAGCACTGAACAGAGATTTGCATTGCCTATATATATTGTATACGATATGAAAAAAAATGTCAAAATAAAACAGCTATGATTGCAGCCCACAACTGTAATCTATCAGCCAATAGTATTCTTTCCTTTTCCCTTTAAATATCAGAAAGGCAGTAGGTTAGACTACTGCCACACTCAAGGGTCACACATTCAAATGCCTATAGGAGTCAGAAAGTAAAGCCACGAGATATGACAAATGAGAGAGTACCTGCTCTTCTAAAAACGACAGCCACAGCCCAATTCAAACAACTGATACCTTGCAGGAAAGCAAAGCGTTCCCTCAATGAATCACAGATTCACCACTTAGCTTGGACTGTGGAAATGGGTTACGCTTAAGACTACTGTGCTGGCCGAAGAAAACAGTTCTAATAAGCTGAACTCAATTCTTGGATTGCTAATTGTTTGCCTCTATTGTAGACAGTCCCTGATAGGACTAAAACTGCCAAATGGTAACTAAAATTACAAGAAAGTCAATTCAATGGGTTTGAAGGCCAGCTTCACTCTTCAGAGCACCTCAGGTTCTCTTATTGGCTGATATTACAGCTTTAAATATCAATTATCAAGCAATATTACTGCCAACATCTGCCAGCCTCCCAGAAAGTAGGTGCATTTTTCTTTTTCTAAATAAATGAAAATAACAAACTTTAGAGACACCATTAGTTTGAAAGATAACTATCATCCTTTCATGTTCCTTTTCTCAATACACTTATAAAGAAAAGGGTAAAAGAAAATCAGGTGAGAGGGTAAGGAGGTGTGTTATAAAACAATATAAAATAAAATACAATATAAAATTATATTGTTATAAAACAATATAATTCCCTCCGCTTTTACATGCTTTTCTTTAGGTAGAATGGCAAGTGCAGATTCAAAATCCTTTTCTTTATTTTATGCAATATCCCATAGTTTATTCCTTAAAATATCTTACCCTTTTTGATACAAGTTGGTACACCTGGCACCCATTTGTTATTGGTATGGCACTTAATCAAGTGACTGCCATTCATGAGGAAGCCAGGGTCGCAGGCAATGTTTACAGTGTCATTGTGAGAATAAGAAGGAGCTTTATTTAGTATCTGTCCATGTTTGACATCTGGATTAGGGCAGTGGGTCAAAGGAGGAGATTTTAAGCACTGTGGAGGAGGTCCACTCCAAGATCCATGTCCTTTAGAATTACTTATACATCGTATATTTTTCTGTCCCAGAAGAGAGAATCCTTGGTCACATTCATAAGACACTTCAATTCCATATAAAAAATGTTCTGCCATTATACCGGTATGTCTCCCATTGTCGATCACTGGTGGAGGATGACAGTGAATAACTGCAGGAGAGATTTAAGAAATTCTACTTCAGCTGGTACACCAAGGTGGACAGTCTTCTTTTGGGTACAAATAAAAGTATGCAATGGCATGTATTGCACATAACTATAAAATTATTTAGAATTCACAAACTGGATTATGCTTTCTTTAAAACAGGTTTATTAAATTTTATGATTATATGAGTAATACATACTCATTCCAAAAAATAAAAATAAATACAGTAAACTAATAAGGACAAAAGAATACAATTATGTTACCTTAACTAGAAACATACGCTATATTTGTTTATTTTTAATCTTTAGCAATTAGCAGATATTATGTCAAATATGCAGTTACTGCTTCATAACTTTGTTTCCCATTGGCAGTGCTGACCAAACACTGTAAGATTTTTCTTATGTACACTGAGATAGAACATATAGATTGTTGTGGTAGTTATAGACTAGTTCTTCTGTGGCCTGGCCTCTCTGACCCCTAATACCCCCACTGACAACTTTCATTCCTAGTTACCTTTACAGAGTGGAATCCTTTGAAACCAAGTACCATTCTCAGCATCCTGGCACTTCTGATAAGCATGTCCAGTCAGCCGATACCTAGAGAGAGATTATAATACATTTCCTCTTCCCAATATCACATCTCTGCAACTTAGCCTCCTTAAACTGCAAATACAGAAGGAACCCTAAATAAGAACTTTGGATGCGAAGAGTTAGAACCCTTGACCCTCCAAGCAAGAGAATTACTTTAGACTTAGAGTTGCTCACAACAAAGCCATTTCCATGTTAAGAAAAAAGTGAAAAGTCAGAGATACTAGACTATTGGAACCTCACATTCTCTGTGAGTGTGACAACGAGGAACTTCTAAAGGGAGTCACCAAGACAATTTGAGAGTAGAATTAGAGCATAAAACAAAGTGGAGACTCTCAGAATTGATTATCTCATACGCACCCATCTTGACAGGATGTATTAACTAGTATCACATGCGAATCAACTGGAAGCTCTTGAACATCTTCTCCCACAGGTTGACATGGTGCTTCTTGAGAAAGAACATTAGAATTACTCATACATGCTGATATCAAAGAGAAATACAACTCTGGGACTGAAAGTACCTTCACACCGAGGGGCAGAAGGACTCCAATTTCCTGAAGGCATACAGTGAATGGATTTGTTTCCCACAAGCAAGTAGCCAGGGTCACAGGTGTAGTCTACAGTCATCCCAGAGACAAAGAGAACCCTGTTTCCACCTGTATGCCGACCGTGGTGGAGCCCAGAAGGTGGCTGGCAGTCTAAAGAGAAAACTCCCCACATAAATGCCAACAAAAGTACATATACTCAAGAACATTAAGTATACAAAATTTGACAACGGACAATCTGAAACTTTTAAGCCAACGATCACAAAGCTCTAATTCATTACCAAATGATTTCTGCTCTTTTGAAAGAACTAGACATCTTTAAACAGGTCCTCTCATTATCTACCTTGATTATATGTCAGATACAAGAGGCATTTACACAAAGAACATATACAATAGACATAGAACATTCTACCACAGAATGGAAGAAATGGGATAGTAACCTGTGCCCCTTGCCTTTTTCCATGACTCTAGTGTTCAGTGGGAGATAAGAATAAATAAGTAAATACCTCATTTTTCCCCATTGAGTTTTTACCTTTTTCACAAGCTGGTATTTCAGGATCCCAGGTGTTATTGGCTTTGCAACGAATCTGACTACTGCCCTTCAAAGTAAATCCATTATTACATATGATAGTCACACTGTCGTTGTAGAAATATGGGGCTTCCTTGCCAGATATCTGGTATCCGTTTACAACGTGGGCACGTAAGCACTGAACAGCAGGGAGGGAAAGTTTACAGAGAGGAGCAGGGCCACTCCAGATGCCCCTCTCTTGCTGGTTGCTTGTACAACGGATGGTGCTCTCCCCAATGAGATTGAATTTTACTCCTTCCTCTGGCCCCAGGTTACATGTATAAGTGACTGTGGTTCCATATGGAATGTCTTCTGAGGAGCTTCCTGTGTGCTTCCCATTGTAAATAACAGGGGGTGGTGGGCAGGTGATTTCTGGAGAGATGAGAAATTACTGTAAAATTCTTTTGCAGTATTAGACACAGAAGATGAGAAATGAAGCTGGTTATGAACTTGTTGTTACCATGTTTCCTGTAGGATATTGGTGAGTTTTGATGATATGAGTTATTTCAAAATTTAATAGGTAAATTTTAAATGTAAATAGGTTTCATTTAAATAGGAAATATTTTTGTAATGGAAATATTTGTTAAAAGTGAATATGCACATCAATATCATATTATGAGGCATATTCCAGTAGTAAATTATTAATTAAAACATTTCTTCTTTTAACAACAATAGGCAAATAAAAGGCAAAGGGGCAGAGAATTAAGCTTTTTTGAGTACCATCTTTGTGCTTAGGTGATAGGATAGTTTAGCCATAAATATTTACTGTTGATTGAGCATCTACTTTTTTCGGTTTTTCTTTTATTTGTTTTTTATTTTTCAATTAGAGTTGGCATTCAATAGTATTTTGTATTAGTTTTAGATGTACCACGTAGTAGTTATTTATATATTTTATGATATGATCCCCTGATTAGTCTAGTACCCACCTGGTACTATACGTAGTTATTATAATATTATCTACTATATTTTCTATTCTGTACTTCGTGTTCTTGTGAGTATTTTGTAACTACTAATTTGTACTTCATAATCACTTCACCTTTTTTTGGCAGGCAATTTTCTCATCTATAGAGTAGGGATAGTACCATTTAATTGTAATAACTTTGAAGTCTGCAGTCTTGTGCTGACTTTACAGATGAGGGGCTAGAATTTCAGAGAATTTATGCAAATTGCCTAAGATCATATTAAGCAGTAGAAAAGAATATGAGTTAAGATCCCAAACCAATTTCCTTTAACTCCAATAAAGGATGGTGGCTCATGTATTCATTGCTTTCTTCATCTTGTTATCCTAAATCACAAAAGAGAACCATCCACTAAATACACTAAATACATTAAAAAAAAAAGGTTGCAATGCTTTGAAATAGAAATATGTGGCAGTAGAAAGAGAACAAAACTATACAACTATAACTGTTAACAAAATTAATAGAACAGAGCCTAATATTCTTTTTCCTATAATATAGCCTAAAAGAGAAATCTCCCAGGAAATGCATAGACCTCACATTATTTCAGGTTCTCCGTTATTTCTACTACTCACCTTTACAAAGACGAATCTCCATAAACCAAGGAATCTTGCCTCGACACAGCTGATAAACACTCTCACCTAACCGGTACCTAGAGACAGAGTCATGTCATTTTGCCAGGCGGGGACCAGTAAGCTCAACAGAGCTATAGGCTCAAATGCAGACTCGCAACTTTCAGGACAAGAAGCAATAGGAACAAATATGTAGCCAGCATCAGTACCATCCATTCATTTCATAGACATAGTTTCCATGCATGGAAAATAGCGCGATCAACACTTCCATGAACACATAATAGGGAAGAGTCTTTGAGATAAACTCTTACACAGAGCCTGCAGTGTGCATTGATAAGCCAGAGACAGTACAGGCTGAGCCAGCACTCATTCACTCACCCTTCATCACAAGAAGAGTTAACATCCAGTCTAATAAATTGATACTGGGGTTTTCTATAGAGATGCTTTTCTATAGGTTCACACTCTGCCACTATGAAAAGAGACTAGGATGAGAAATCAACTCAAGGCAACCTCAAAACCACAAAACGTCTACATTAAAAGCCTGGCACCTTTGCATTTGGGGGCAGTGGGTGTCCACACTCCCTCAGAGGTACAATGTATGGATTCTTCTCCTACCAGCACATAGCCAGGGTCACAGCTATATTTTATAGATGTTCCAGGGTCAAAGCGGGTCCTGTATCTATCTTCCCTTTGCCCATTGAGAATTTTAGGAGGAGCTTGGCAAGCTAAAGGAAAGGAAGAAAAGTTTTCTTATATAACAACGAAAGGAAGAAACAACAAAGAAATTGTCACTAATGCTACAATTCTACTCTGGCGGCACTTGTATGGTATAAAATGTATCTTACAGTCCAGTTTTGGGTAATCTTAAAGCTCCGTTTCTTAATCTTTTTCTCTTTTCTGCATTTAGGCTGCTGTAGATTTTGTTCAGTTCCCACTTGATGCTCAATCTCCTTACTTGTCCCTTCCTTTCTAAAAAAATCACCTTGTATGCTTTTAATGGGAGATTATGATATATCCATGTGGTGGGGGCTTTTGCTGACTTCCCTTTTAAGAAAGCCCTATTAAGATAAACAAGCATTAATTTTCCCTAAAGAAGTGGGCAACTTAATGGTCCCTAATGTTTTTCCCCAAGGATACTCCCACAAAATGAAATAATGGTTGGGGCAGTGTTAAGAAAGCCTTCTATATAATGTATATTCACTACACATATTTAGTAGAATTGATGGGACTAGGTACTAAAAAAAGTGTTGCTTAAGTCCATAACCCCTTCCTCTAACTCTTCAAAAAGATGAATCAGTAGCACTTTTTCTGAGTGTTAGAACACCCACCCTTTTCACAGACTGGTGGCATTGGCTCCCATCTGCCTTGGGCATTACATCGGATTTCCTTGTTGCCCTTCAAGGTGAAGCCAAACACACAAGCAAATACTACAGTGTCGTTATAGGAATATTGATCTTTCTCCCCAGATGATATTTGGCCTCTTAGGATTTGGGGAGGTGGACATCGAATTGTAGAAATACGAAGTTCACAGCGTGGGGCAGGGCCACTCCAGATCCCAAACTTCTGACTGTCAGCGGTACAATGGATGGTGTCCTCTCCAATCAGGATGAAGCTCACTCCTTCCTCTGGGTCCGGGTCACAAGTGTAAGTGACTGTGCTTGCATATGAAACGTTTGCTGAAGGGTTGCCTGTATGTCTTCCATTAAGAATGGGAGGAGGTGGTGGGCAAAGAATTTCTAGAGGAATTACAGAGAGAAATGACAAAATTGCAGCTGTGCTATAAAGAATGCCATGGACTTTGCTTGGTACCACACTCACCTCCTAGGTTCAGGGTCAGTGATATTTGAATTTGTAATAAGTCAATCATGGTAGCTATAGCAATACAATTCAAAAAGTATAATTTGAAACAATTCCTGAATATATCTACTCTGCTGATCCTTGGATTTCTTTTACTGAATATATGTTCTCCTTTATGTTCATGGCCTGGCTGGCAAGTCAACCTAGCTTTCAGAGAAAGAAAAGCCTAGGAACACTGTTTTAATTGAGTAAGCAGACACTAAAGAAGTAAATGAAGGATCTTCAGTTATATCCATTAAAGATGTCTAGGAGAGATCTTTTCTCTCTAAGCCTCTGTATAGTAATGACTAAATCAAAAGCTTTTAGTTAACCTGAGAATGCAGTGTCCTGTTGAACCTCTGACAAAGAACTAGCTGCAAATCACAGTTGCCTAACCTACCTTCACATACTGGAATCTTGGTCCATAAAGCCTGCTGCCCAGCAATTACACACTGACTAGAAGATTGGCCTTTTAATCGGTACCTGGAGACAGAAGGTGGTCATTCAGAACTATTAGGCAGTTGGTGCTGGGAACAATAACCTCTACTTAAAATCCAAGACAAATTCACTTAATTTGTGTGTACCAACTCTTATTAGCATCACCTCTCACAACCTCATCTCAGGTGTCCATTGATCCTCACACAGAAAATTTCATAGGTAACACCATGCACAGGTAAGCTAAATGAATTAAACCTCATGAATAAGCCCTCTGGATACTCACCTTTCATTACAAGAAAAGTTCACAACTGCGCCAACACCAAGACTTGGAGGCTCCTTTATCTGCCCATTGAGAAATGGTCCTGGAGGTTTACACTGTGCCTCTGAGGAAACATGCCAAAGATGAGCCAAGCATGGCAAATAACAGAATAGCCCAAATTCTTAAAACTGATGGTATATTTAGGGTACCTTTACATGTGGGAATGACAGCACTCCAGTCTCCTGAAGACAAACAGCGAATGGTCTTTTCTCCGAGAAGCAAGTAACCAGGTTCACAGCTGTAAGTCACAGACAATCCAGGGACAAAGGGGCCAGCATTCTTTCCTGTATGACGTCCATTGGGAATCTGAGGAAGTGGTGGACACTCCAGGGGGAAATCTTTACACACACACATTAGAAAAAAGGCCATCAGATGATTTATTCTTTACAATTTGATTTTGATCTAAATTAATGTCACATGATCTATATAACCAGTCATTAGTAATTTCCAGCTTAGTCTTAAACAGGTGTGGTTTAATTGTATCCATTTTATTCCACAAATAGCACATTATTTTTCATTTTCAGTTACACTTTATGCTTTGCCTTGTGCAAAATTTCAGTTACCAAAAAAGTCCATTTTCACACATACTTTCATCCTACCCTCAAGCTGATTCTCTGTTCCCAAACTAACATGTTATTATTTAGGGAGGTTATTCTGCTAGATATTAATAACAGTTTTTTTGGATCTTACATGTGAAAATATATACATATATATTGGGTGTGTATATGTATATTTGCATATTATTCTATGCCTTGCTTCCTGTGCTTAATAATTTGTCTGTGAAATTTTTCCTTGTCAATACATATAGATCTATTTAAGTCTTTGTAAAGGATTAATTATTTTCCATGGTCACCTTATTTTGTGAATATCTTCAGATCTTTCAATCTCCATGATTATATATCTATAGACAGAATCATATTTTTCTAAAAATAGTTTATTCACCTTGTTAATTGATTTATAATTGATCAATATTGTTTTTTATTTAAAAAATAAGTAGCTAATATTGATGGTCTAATTTTTGTCAAATATAGCCAGTCCCTATAATTATATAATTAAAATTCAGATTTAGATTTTAAAAAGAACCAAATCGAATTAAAAAAATTTTTAAGAACTTATAGTAGTTCGTATTCTCAATCATTTGATCTGAAATGTTATTGCTTAGGAGATTACTTGGGAAAATAGTGGATCCTTTGGAAAGTGTTTATAGAGGACACAGACAACAGGGCATCATTTCTGCCAGACTGTATTTGCAGCTATAAATAGATGAGTTTTAAACCCACTGAGTGTATTTTTGCTAACAGACCTCACATTTCTTCTCATTTTAACATTAATCTAGATGTATAGTTTTAAACCACCCAATTCGCACAGCACCAACAAACTCTGGCCCTGATCCTTGTGAGACGTCTTCCATTCAATTATTATGTATATTTAGTTACTTTTTCCCATAATACTTTAAAATCTTTGCTCTGTTGATGTTTGTTGAATGAGCATTTATATCCCTTATGAATAAAAAGCAACTAGGAAAACTATAATTCTCGCCCTTTCCTTTGCTTCCTCCCTCACCACCATTCCCACATCCACACTGTTCTTCCTTCAGAATGAAACAAAACTTGATCTGCACAGAAATGCAAGCCTCAACCTCCCAACTCAGTTTTATTTTCATTTTTACTCACCACTTTCACAGGTTGGTAGTGGTGTCGGCCCCCACTTTTTATTTGCTTGGCACCAAACGGACTTGTTTCCTTTCATGGTGAAGTTGGTATTACAGGTAAATGTCACAAAATCACCATGTCTGTATGGTGGTCCAGACGATTTAACTTTGCGTCCCCCTGGTACTTTGGGCTCAGAGCAAGAAGACTTTCTGTTGTAATATTCACATATAGGAGCGGCTTTATCCCAGATTCCTTTCACTTGGTCTTTACTTATACAAAGAAGAGTTTTTTCTCCGATGAGGCGGAAGACAATTGGACAATTGTACCGTACCAAAGTATTAAGAGGTACGGGGCCAGAAGTATAACTACTCTGGCCATTTCTGATAGGAGGAGGAGGGTCACAAAAAATCTCTAAAAAATAGAAAAGGAAATAAGTGGTGATATTGGTCATGACAATGAAAAGATTCAAATTTAGATTAAAGGCCCAAATATAGGTCATGCCATTTTTTTTCAGAAACAGTCTTAGAAATTTGTATAATTTACTTCTTACTCATAGTCCCTGCTTATTCCCAGGCTCCTAAATACTTACCTTTCTCTTGATCCTCAGCAAACAAAATCAATATAGGATTTATAACACCATCTTGACCAAACAGTGACAATGAAACAGTTTATTAAATATTTCTGAGTCCAATAAATTTTAATGACAAAACAAAAGGCAAGTAGCACCTGAAAATAATTGTTAATGACATGCTAATCACATAAGGGGAGGCACTGTGGACTAATGAAATTAATTCTCACTGTCATTCAATAGCCGTGTGACCTTAGGCAAGTTTTACTCTCTCTAAGCCTCAGTTTCCTAGCCTATAATATAAATCAAACTACTTCATAAGGTTGTAATGAAAATCCAGTGAGAGAAAAGTACCTGAAAGAGGCAAGTGCAATATCTGGAACACATAAAATTTTTGATGCCTGTTTCAAACACACAACTAGGGCTACAAGTGAAAGAACATTCTGTCCTGCTAAAGATACTGCAGCCTCACTACAGTCATTTGTCATCCTTTGATTCTGGACCCCTTTGAAAAAAGCACAGGAAATAATCAGAGGTTCATAATAATGACTTCATGCCCTTTATTTAATTGTCTCGATGGGCATGAAGGATATTGTTTATAGCTGGTAGATGCACAACTTTCCTGAATGAGTCTCAGAAAAAGAGAAAATTGGCAACCTTCAGAATATCTGGTTGATTTACCCTTAGCTCCAAGAGTTGCTTATCAGTGGCAGATTTGGCATAAGAAGATATTTTCAAACCTTTTCGGCACATCAGTGCTACTCAGTTTCAGTAGGGGTAACTTTTGAGAGTCTTTATCTTAATATAGATAGAATATTCAATATAATATGTAGTCAACTGAATAAAATTAGTTTTGGTCTACATTCTAGAATCGACACAGAAGAGTGGCATATATGTGTTCAAAGTAGACATAGAATAAGATGTTATAAATGAGAAATGGAGGAGAACACACCGAAAATCAAGAGGCAAGATCCATACTTAATTATTTTTGCTTTCTACTCACGTTCACAGACAGGAAACTTATTACTCCAGAATACTCTCATTCCTTCTGAGACACACTGACTAGAAGATTTGCCATTTAACCGGTACCTTAAACAACAAGGGATAGCAAATCATCACCAGAACAAACCAATTCTCAGGTGCATGGAATTAATCACTTCTCTCAAGTATGTGGTATTAATGGGATCTATTTTTTAAGCATTTCTGATTTACGAAAAATGTCCAAGATTGTGAATTAGCTCAGATATGTGATGACTCCATACCAGGTCAAAACACAGAAAAAAAAAAAATCCTATGATCATATTCTTTTAAAAAATTCTTCCCTTTCTCTTGATATTTGGAAACCAAATATCAAGATCCTCTTGATATTTGGCAACCAAATATCAAGATCCTCTTGATCATTTAGAAGGGAAAAAACTCAGTTCCTAGTGAAGAAAATATCAAAGACTTTGTTCCCTAAGCTCACCACAAAGAACCCTTTTTACTAAGCCCCCATCATCTATTCATTCTCCATAACAGAAGCCTTAACTTTCTGACCCCAAATTTTGCTTTTTCAAATAATGAAAAGGACAATTCCAGCTTTTGCTGGCCATGCACAATACATACACTTGGAAAAAAGCAATAGGATTTGCTGAGAAACAGAATTCTTGGTCATAAAGGTAAAAGGAGAGAAAAAAAATCAGAGAGAGAAAAAAATTAACTATCTTTAGAGATCACATTTTGCAATACTTAGCTATGAATCAGAGGTCTCAGTTCAAGCCCCGTACCCTCACACTCACCCCTCATCACAAACAAAGGAAACCTTTGCCCCTAGTTGAAGATTAGAAGGAGCCACCACATGGCCATTGAGAAGTTGCCTTGGAATGGCATCGCATGATTTCACTAGGAAAAAAGAGGCAAAGCTGGCACATGAAGAGTAAGAAAACAGTAGAGTTTCCTTAAGATGGAATATAGCTTTAGGCACCTTCACATTTCGGGGCTGAATGGCTCCAGGTTCCCAAGGATGTACACTGCATAGGGTTAGCTCCAATGAGAGTGTAGCCAGACTCACAGCTGTAGGACACTTCCTGTCCAATTAGAAAGAATTCCTTATCCATTTTGTTATAATTACCATGGTTGATTTGTGGAGGTGGTAGGCACCCTGAGAAAAGAACAGGACCAAAGGCCTTTTATTTCTGAAGTAAGAAGTTTCTTCATTACAACCTAAGCCAACGTGGAGTTGGCAGGGGTGGAATAAACGTGGTCATGTCATTTCGCCTGTCTAAAGCAGAGAGGTTTTTGGGAGGTGGAGTGGGGCAAACATGCATTACTGTTTTTAGACTCAGTGAACCATGCAACTATCTGCTTTCCCTATCTTGATCTCTGCCAGAAAACACTACACCCACTCACCATTTTCCATCCCATTTAATGAAATGATCTCAGATATTCTCTCAATAATATTGTCGCCAAGGGAACTGAGCTTTTGTAATATACTTTCACCACTAAAATCTACCTCATTTTTCCTGCTCCTCAAACCAGGTTAATGAAGATATCGAGCCTTGTGGGAGGGGCTCCCAATGTTGTCAGGTTTTTGTAAGTCAGACATTTCTCAATAAGAGCAGGGGAGAAAGGTAGACTTGGTGAAGAGACTCAATCTTAATTCTAGCTTTATTCCATAAAGGCTACACTTTTCAATATGAGAATGCAAAATAGCCAATAGGATTGAGCATTTATTTTATCTTCATTTAAATAAAATTTAATCAGGTGTATGTTTTAAAAAATCTCTAATCATTGGCTCTGGAACTATGTACCTTTTTTTTTTTTGAAGAGCCTTCTAATGTCTCTAAAATATGGTAAATTTTTTACCTCTTCAACATTTAGATTTTATTTTGTTTTCAAATTTACTTTCAAATCTTTTAACTAGTATCCCCAACTACATATACTATCTTTCTCCTCCTCTTTGCCTAGCTACCATGTATCTATTCCTCCAAAAGTATAATTTTATTTCTAGATCCCCAAATTTCCAGTCCAACTCACCCTTGAAGCACCTTGGCAGTGGAGGATTCCATTTATTGTTTGATTGGCACCATACTATGTTGCTTCCTTTCATGATAAAGCCAGGCTTACACTTAAACATCACAGTATCATTTAAGAAAAATAAATGTCTAAATCCAGATTCCATAATTCCATTTTCAACTTTTGGAGTTGGGCATTTGACTAAATTAATACACTGAGGGGGAGGGCTGCTCCAGATGCCGACTTGATTGTCTTTGCTGGTACAATATATTGACTTCTCACCCACGAGGTCAAACAGCTTTTTCCCATTCTGTCCAACATGGCACCGATAAGTCACCACCATTCCATAGGTAAACTCACTACTGCTGCTGTAAAAGTCCCCATTGGAGATGGCTGGGGGTGATTCGCAAGGAATAGCTTTTGGGGGGTTAAGTGGGAAAAGAGAGAAGACATTTCAATGTTATACTTTCTGGGAATTTTGTCTTGAGTCTTGCAAATCAAGCTCCAATTTAGCCTACAATTAACCCATATTGTTGAAATTGTGTATCCTTATCTCAAAGATGGTCCTAAATAGGAAGTAGCAAGGTCAGCAGGTATATGGAACTGCTCTGATGAAAACTCAAAAACTATGATCTGGTTCCCATCCCCAGTGTATAGATAAATTATGGTAGGAGGCACCTAAGGTGGCCTACATTTTGCATGGAATAAAGTGGGCAGTACGTGATCTCATGGCATATATTAGTTTTAAGTATTTATTCACTATGAAATAACTTATCATCAAAGGAGAGTAGTCAAAGGAGAGTGTGGTGGGATTGGAGTCAGTGGAAGAAGATAAACCACAGCCCTATGACCAGAACTTCCCAAACTAAGTGTAATCCTCTTGGGTACTCATCTAATATCCCTCTTGGGATATTAAATGCCCAATATCCCTCTAGAAGGGGATAAGAAGAATTACATAGGGTGCAATAAAGGCATGATTTTACTCACATTCACAAAAAGGCATGTCCTTATCCCAGATTACAATATTGTCTGAGACAATGCATGTAGCAGATGAGTCACCAATAAGTCGATATCTAAAGACAAAGAGATGAGGAATCATCTCCTATCTAGATGGACATTTTAGGAATTCTTAGTTCTCTGTCCACTGAAAAAATGGCAAAGAATGGAATATCACGTGTGATAGGTAGTGGTGATAGACTAAGGACTCATACAAAAGATTCAACAATCGAAACCCAAATAAAATTTGACCTCCTGGTGGATATCATTGGAGATTTAAAACTGGAAGAAGAGTAGCCCAAGCTTCTTTCTCTTCTAGGGATCCTCTCTAGTGGGTAATCTCTTGAGCAGATCAGGACGGTTCCCTTTTGCTTATCTATTTTTAAGGGTAAGTGGCAATTACTCAGATGTCTTTTGGCAGACTGATGGTTCCTGGTTGAAACTACTGTTTTAATATCCATATACTGGAAATGTCTCCTGCCAACTCACCCTTTATCACAAGAATATGTAATTGTTGCCCCAAACACGATACCCATGGGTGTGTGGACAGAGCCATAAAGGAGTTCTCTAGGGCTCACACATGCTTTACCTACAAGGAAAAACAAAACAAAACAGGATTTGGGCCTGGGATTTGAGGTTCCTTTTGTGTTTTAGATCAAATCCCAACCTGGCTGAACTTGCTGACTAGCCCATTTATGTTTATTAAAGAAATTTTTTTTTTTTTTTGACATTTACAAAAATTCTATTTTCTAAAGGATCAGTTAACTCCAGAACAGTATTTGTTTAAGGCACATTCTCTATATTTCTGAGTGCACATGCAAAAATTACCTGTGGTCAATCATAATTTATAATCTGTATTTCCCCTTTTTATATTTTGTCAGTTGGTAGCATCATCTATCAAGTTCTGTGGCTTGAAAAAAACCTTACACTCATCATTTTCTTTCTGTAACTCATTCTTTATCCCCTTCTTTCATTCAATCAGTCACCAAATTTTAGTGACTAATTCCAGAAATCCCTGTCCAAACCAGGTATTTTACTACTGCTGTAATCTCTCATTAGATCAGTGAGTAATAAAATTCATCTTTCTAACTTTGGTCTCCACTGGCCCAGTATATCTATGCACATCTACCACTGCACACATTATTTTTCATAGGCATAAATGTGGTCATGCCACTCCCTACAATTAAAAACTTACAATGGCTTATCATTGTTTATTGGGGAAAAATATATATGTGGCCCGTCACAATTAAGCTCCTAACCACTTAATCGACTTTTATTCCTCAGCGTGCACCTTATCTTCCAACCATATTGAATTATTCTAATTTCAAAAGACATCATTTTCATTCATACTTCTATACTTTGGAATATGTTGTTTCCTCTGCCTGTAATGCTTAGGTTTCCTTAATTCTCCTAGGTAGCATTTATTATTTACTTCTCTATGATCTCATAGAACTTGATCTCTATGAATAAATGAAATTATATTATAGTACAGTATTTGTTTAAAAGTCAGTCTTTACAATTAATAGAGGAGTTTCTCAAAGGAAGGGACTAGCAGATTTTTAATCTCCCCAGCCCCATCATCTAGCCTAAAGCTTCATACTTAATAGTTACTCAAAAATATCTCTTGAATTAAAAGGGGTAAGAATAAAGTGAAACTAATATTCCTTGTACACTAACTTTTAACCTCACTCTAGCACAATACAGAGCATAGAGCAAGTTCATGGAGATTATAGGTAAACAGAGTTAACTACTTGTGATGATTTAACCTCATACTCAACACCCTTAAGAGTAAAAGAAAACAGAGAACCCAGGAGCCCCCTTAGTTTGAGATTTGCTAGTCTTTTATCTTAAAAAATAATAGGTTTGCCTATAGAGATACACTAATAGATTCAAAGATGCCTCTATTACAGATTACTCACGTTTACAGTATTCCTGAGCATCTGACCACTTGGAGGTCTCTAGGCAGGTGATAAAAAACGACCTCTTGATATACCCAGGAAGGCATTCATATTCCCAAGATGTCTCAACAGCAAACTCAGACTTATCACTCTGAATTTTAGGTTTAGCAAAAGGATAACTTGGCAGGAACTTACACTGACCTAGAGACAAAGACCATAGGAATATCAAAAGTAAGAGAGGCTAAAACTTCTACTCTGCCAATTACTCTGGCAACTTTGACCTTTAAGAAGTAAGCCTAAAATGGGCAATATTTTCTGGGACAAAGAACATATATCTTGCACTATAGCTGCATATACAGAAAAATAAGCCCAGAAATTCAGACGTTTTAGGACAGACATCAGAGGAAGACCTAGAAAAAGTTATTTTTCATAAAATTCCATAAAGACCCTAGAGTTGTTCCATTTTCTTACAACCTCATAAATAAAAACTAAAACCTTATAATAAAAACTTTTCTGGATGGCACAGGAAACTAAAGTACATCAGAAATCTTATAAGTTCAGCACACGTATGATTTTCTACAATTACTTTAATGTATTAACATCACTCTCTTAATCATTAAAGGTTTAGGCTCTAGCAATAAGAAAATGTTTTTTTATTATTCTTCATTATTATGTTCAATTAACATAGTAAAATAATATGCCCCCCAAAGAGAGCTTGGTAAATACTTTCTGATGGGTACTAGATGAGAGGAATTAGTCATTTAAAGAGAGCTCCCTGTGATTAAAAATAATTTTAAAAAGATAATAATAATAATAATATCAAATAATTTTAAAGATAATAATAATAATAATAATAATAATAATAGTAATAATAAAACAAATCTTATCCCAAGAGATGGGTAAGAAACTATATCACCCACACACTTGATAATATACTTGAAAAAGCCATTTTTCTAGGTATGAAAGAGAGCTCAAATTTTAATGGCAGTTTATTTGAATATTGAATTTATAGATCTCTTACCTTTTCAAACAAGTCTAAAACAGGTACAGTTGAATGTCAAAGAACACACATGGACTAACTGATATAGGCAAACACAGAGCTTCCAAGGTTGTAGCCAGACCCAGCCTTTCTGTAGCCCAACACTTCTGTTGGAGAAGTTGTATAGAGTGGATCAAAGAAAAGCCATCACTTTTGGGACCCAGATCTCATTGTAGGTCTCCTATTTCTTTCCTCTACTCCTTCGGTTCCCTCCATTAACACCTACAAATGTCTCCAAATGCATGCCTATGCAAAACAGCAAAACTGTACAGGGAAAGTCAGGGTTTGACCTCAGCGAAGGCCAATTCACAACCTTGACATTACTTGTGCCAATTCATCTTAAGCAAGTGGTTTAACCAGCAATTCTCCAATGTGAATAAAGACAATACCAAATAATTCTCCAGAAGCTAAAAAACCAATTTAAATCCACAAGATTTAATAAGGAGCAGTGATGTGGACCAGGATGGAACTGAGATCTTGAAGCAGCAAAAGCAGAATGGTACTTTAGAACACGACCTTCTAAAGTGATAGGAAGTAAGAATAATACTTTCTGAATGAGAAATAATGGAAATTTGAATTCACAGTAAGGAGACTTGGGAACTCTCTCTCCTTTAAGGGACACTATCTCTCATTAGTATTGAATTTGCCAAAATCCCAGGTCACAGGACAGAATTTCCAACAATCATGTTCTCTTCCATCTCAGAAAATGGAAAAGTTCATGAATCATGAAGTAATATGAAATTTCTTAAGGGTTATTGCACCCTCTTCACATGTTTCTAAAATCAGAAATAAAAACGAGATAGATAATGACTGAGTTTAAAATAGAAGATAGCAAGATATTCACATATACGTCCCTCATACCATGTTAAAAATTAACTAGGCAAAGCAATTTCTAGAGAACAGGAATACATTTAGCTCTTTCGTTTAGCTTTACCTGGAATGGCTTAGAAATTCATTTGAAATGAATGAAAAAAAATATAAAGAAGAATAAAACTGAAAAGTCAGGAAGCAGGTAGAAGGAGAAATTATTATTGAGAATGAGATTATAATCAAATGCCTTAACACTGGATTATGTCAAATGCATTTAACACTGGATTTCCTGGCTATTTAATCATTTTTTTCCCCTCTTTAATTCTCCCACCCCCCACTTCCACCTCTGACCCATGGATGTTGCCGTTTCTCCTTAAGAACTGGATCTCTGAAGGCGGGGCATCCCCTCCCACACGCTTGCTGCTTGCAGCAGGGGCCTGGTGCACCCGGGGCCTGGCGCACCCAGGGTATGGTCCATGGCTCCACCTGGGGCGCAAACCCAGGACCTTCTGTGTGCAAAGCAGACATGCTAACCACTACACTATGGAGCCACCCTTATTTAATCATTTTTGAATGACAGTTATGCATATTCACCAAGGTATTGTCTTAAGCACAGGAGATGCATCAGTAAACATTAGGACAAGGTTCTTACACTCATGAAATTTATATTTCAACAGAGGGAGACAGATCATAAATAAATATCAATCAATAAATAAATGGTATGTTAAAAAAAATAAACAGTGATGTGTCTAAATGTAATACGCCAGAAGGAGGAGGGGATAGGATGGCATACCACTTCAGTTATGATAGTTAAGGAAGCCTATAAAGAGGAGCCATTGAGTTGTGACTGAAGGATAAGAAAGAGCCAGCCAGGCAAAGTACTGGATAAAAGCAATTTAGGCAGAGGCCGAACAACAGGATGGATTTGCTATGCTTTAGGGACAAACAGAAGGCAAGTGTGGCTGGAATGCAGTGATCAAAACAATGTCATGAGATCAAGTTAGGCAGCTCAGCAAGAGGCATCCTAGGGCTTCTTAGTAAGGTGTCTGCATATTATCCTGAGTGGAAGTCATTGGAAAGTTTAAACAGGAGAGTCACATGCCCGATTTACTTTTCAGAAAGAACAGTTTAGCAATTAGGTGGAGAGCGGACTGGATTTTTAGTTTCATCAGCAAGGAGTGCAGTCTGGAGGCTATTGTACTTGTTCGGGGAAAAATAAAAAATGAGGCTTGGACCACAGGGAGACAGTGAGAAGTGGATGATTTTGGAATGTATTTTAAAAGTGGAATTGTCAAGCATTTTTGCTATATTGGATGTGGGGCTAAGAAAATAGGAGGATTCAGTAATAACATCTAGGCTTTTGACTTGAGCTACTTGGTTGATGGTAACATCATGTACTAAGATGGGAAAATCTGAGAAAGGAACAGTTTTTGTATCTTGTTTTTTGGGAAGGGTGTGTGTCGGGGTGGAGGGGTAGGATGTTGTAGGAACAGAATTGGTTCCATTTTACACTTGGTATATTTGACGTACTTACTGGGCCTCCAGATGGGAATGCCAGGTAGGCAGCTGGATGTCTAAATTTGCCACTCAGGGGATAGGTCAGGATTACAGATAATAAATACGAGTCATTAACATATATACATGAATTAAAGCTATGAGACTGGATGAGATCTCTTAGGAAGAAGGTATTGAAACAAACAGAAGAGGTCTAGTGTTGAGTTCCAAAACCCTCTAATATTTAGAGCTAGGGCAAAAAGGACTAAGAGTGAACAGAGAAGGACAGAAAAAAAAAAAGGTAGGAGTGTCCTGTCTTGGAAAATAAGAATAAAACTGTTTCAAGAGGGTAGAAGTATTTAACTTTTGCTGAAAGACTGAGAAAGATAAGAACATAAAAATGACCATTAGATTTGCCAAGTTGAAAGTCAGCTATGAGGATGGTGGAGAAAGAAGCCTGTCAGAAGTGGGTTAAGGAGATAAAGAAATGTGAACAAGAAGTCAATGGGAAGTTTCACTGAGAAGGATGAGAAGAGGGGCAGAAAAATGCAGTTCCTTTGGGTTGTGAGAAGTCCCCTTTCCTGAATAAAGGATGTCTGGGGCTTATTTAACGGCTGGTGGGGATGATCCATCAAGAGATTTAAATGCAAGGATGCAAGGCTGCAAATAAAGTCTTTGCAAAGGCATAAGGAGATGGAATGTGATCATGAATATAGGAAGAGGAGTTGGCTTGTCAGCAGAAAGGGCACATTTTCCATTGTTACAATAGGAAAAGAACATTCTTATTGAACTAGTTACATGCTAGTGCTAGGATTCATTAGGCAATAAGATAGATAAAAGTCTTGTTCCCCTGGAACTTTTATATTCCAGTGAGGACACAAACACAAGTAAATAAACAAACAAGAAGGTTTCATATGAGGATAGGTGCTCTTTGGAAAATAGAACATGGTTATGGGATAGAGAGTGACTCTGGGTACAACTGCTTCAGATAAAAAAAAAACCACGGTGGAGCTGAGATCTGTCCCAGAAAGAGACAGGCAAGGGATGATCTATAGGAAGAAAATTTCAACAGAGGGAACACCTAGTGCAAAGGCTAACCAAATGTGAGTGTGTTCAATGGAAAGAAAGCCGTTGTGGCTGGAGCAGAGGGAATGAGCAGGGAGGACAGAAAATTTCAGAGAGAGGCAGAGGCCTGTCATCAAGGATAAAGGGTACTGATTTCGTTCTAATGTGATAGGAAGCCCTTGGTAGGTTTTAAGCAGGAGAGAAAGGATCTGATTTTGGGTGGAGGTAGATGATTAGAAAACCAGGGGATTCCTATTTGATGATTTTGGCAACAGTGAAATTTAAGAGTACAGGAGATTTGAATCAGTTTATACAAATAGACAAAAGGAAAAATGGGGAAATACTCTAAGTTGGAAATCTGCTTCCTATATGACTGTGCTCCCAGCAGTTTGAACTGTACACACTTGCTTTAGAATTTTCCAGAGTGCTTTTTAAACCTCAGCTTTCTGGGCCACAGCCCAAACCTGTGAATCTCTGGAGGATGAGGTGGAACCCAGTAACCTATGTTAAAAAAAACAGGCGCCTCAAGAATTTCTTTAGCAAATTCATGGGCAGGAACTGGCCAAGAGCAAAGAAACAGTCTAGGGAGGGTACACAGTAGGAGCAAAATACAGGATGGGGCATAGGCAAATTATGAGCTAAGAACCATGGGGTGACAGTCAGGGAAGATGGCAAACAGTACAGCCGTGATGGGAAGCAATGGGGAATCTGGAGGGGCATGCTTATGTGAGATCCTATTACAAAGGGCTGGAAGACATTTGATTTATTTTTTGATCCCACAGACAGTAGGAAACCCTTTTAGATTTTTGAGCAAGGGAGTAGAATGAAAAAAGTATATAGTTATCAAATTTTGGTTTTCACTATTGTAAAGGGTAAAGACTGGTACCAGAATGACCTGTAAGAGAGGAGGTTGTTACCCAGGTAATCATAATGCTTAGGTTTAAAATTTGGTGCAAGAATGATAATACAAGCAGCAGAAGCACATTAGTTCTAACAGCTGGCAAAGAGGTAGACCTAGTCTTTCATGTGTTTTGTAGTAAAGTGACCTAGAGGGTGATCCTTTTCTGGTACTTGGAGGGGGTGCTCTGGCATACTTGGAGGGGTTCATGAATTGGCAGGGCTGGTGAAGAATTTGATTTTCAGTCGATAATAGCCTCTCTGAAAATTTAGAAATAGGGATGCAAGGCACTGTGGAACTGCACCCTGCAGAGGTGTTAGAGAAAGTTATAAATGTGCATTTGTTCAAAGGGAGTTAATATAGAGGCGTGTGAGACAGATGAAGGTAATCGTTTGGGGAAATGCTCAACTGAAATATTCAAATATTCAGTTAGAGAAAGTTGTGAATGTGCATTTGTTCAAAGGGAGTTAATATGTAGGCGTGAGAGATGAAGATAATGGTTTGGGGAAATATTCAATTAAGAGTCAGGAGAAAGTTAAAGGCAGGAAGCAGACAAAATAAGTTGTAATAGAACCAATGTATGCAGTTTCTCTTAGCCAGCTGGAGAGGTTAATCTTAAATGCTGGTTCCATAAAAACAGGTCCATGCAGTAGTATTATTGATATGCAGTAGTAACAACTAACATCTAACTCTCGTTTGACAATTTCATCTGCTATTCAGGACAGCTCAGTACGTGGTAAGGCAGTTTATCGCTAGCTTCATTTCACAGATGAAGAAACTGAGAATTAGGGAGCTAAATGACTTGCCAAAAGTCACCCAGTTATTGAGGTCTGCATACAGTAAACTTCTTAATAAATGAAGAATTCACTGTACCCTGAAGGTAATTAGAAAGTTAGATCTATCTTATTGCAAGAGACTCTAATCTTAACGAACTGTAATATTTCTTTAAAATTACCCCAATCAGGAGGGGGGAAAGATTATAATAAATGTCGAATGAGACCTTCTGGAGCCCTCATCATTACAGAAGGTAAATAACGCAAAGACAACTGTAGTTTTAATGCACGTCTCAACTTTTCTTAATTACTCCAGGAGTTTATCGTTTAAGATCTCTTTATCAACATCACATCAAGTCAACTATATACATCAAAAAATATATATACACATATACATATATACATACATATATACATATATACATATATGTGTATACACACATAGATACACACAAATATATAAATATATATCTTATATACATATATAAATACATATATACATATTCATCACACACACACACACATACACGTGCATACATAAATGAACCATGCCTGGGAACCAGACATTATTCTTACTCAGGGAAGGAAGAAGGAGGATCTGCTGCTTTTACTGGGCAGGAGCGAGTTCAGAGGTTGCAGAAACTCCCGTGCCTAGAGGAGCGTGCTGCGGTCTTTGCGCCAATCAAGGGTAGTTTTTGTTTACGTGGCCACCGTATCTATAGCAGACCTCCGGGGGGCGAGAGCGAGGAGCACCTGCTGAGACTCGGGGGCTGGGAACCCGAAGAGGACAGACAAGCACTCCACCTGCCACACGAGGTAGATCATACAGTGCCCCTCTGTGATGCAGCCTCTAGTTCTGGTAGTTCCAGCCCGGGGAGGCGCAAGTGAGGACATTAAGAACCAAGAAATCGCGGGAGTCCCCCCAAACGAGCGAGTGGCAGGCAAGCATCCGACACTGTCCCCGCCTTCTCGCTTTAAACTCTGCTTTGCATCGGGGCACGGAGGCCATCCCTGCCCCAGACGTATCCCTACCTTTGCGCTCCGCCTCAACGAGGACCCCTGGCGTGACGAGAGCCAAGGAAATCCAGAGCAGGCCCGCGGAGCCCATGCCACGGCGGCAGCCCCAACGGCGAGATGCGTTTCGAGACCCTCGAGCCTCCGGCAGCTCCGGAAGAACAAGACTGGAGCAGGAGGCAGCTGCAAGCAAGGGAAGGTGGGCCCTTAAATAGTGTCTGGCACCACGTGCTAGCTTTGTGCACACACCTGCAGACTGTCTGGGGGCGGGTCGCTCATCCGGGTGTGGGTGGCCTAGGCAGCGAAGGGCGGGGGAGCAGAGAAACTCGCCCAGTCGTCGTTGGCTCAAACTCTAGCCCTCCGTGCAGTGGTTTTTCCAGCATTTTGACTGTGCAGCAAACTCAGTGAGTCCATATTTGCCTCTCTGGAGAACTGAAACAAAAATTTCACAAAATAGTAACCACCCTTACTAATTTACAATGATCTAACTATCCTTCCCATCCATTTCCTTCTCCTTTTCTAGTCTTTTTAAAAATTCTGGCTTGGAATCACTAAATTCCTTTTAACCCTCAGCTTGAAGAAACAGTTTAATGATTCAGTTTACCTAGAAACGGTTTACCTAGGAAACTTAGGAACAGCAGCAACTTCTACTATGTTCTGTTTATTTTGAAATAATTCCTACAGAAAAGTGGTAAGAATAATACAAAGAATATATATATGTATATATATATCCCAAATGTTAACATTTCACTGTTTTATCATTCTCTGTCACTCACTTTGGATGACTAGATAGCTAGATAGATACAGATAGTTATATATGTACGTATATATTTACATATATAATTATGTAATTATATAATTTTTACTTTGGAACTGTTTCAGATTTGTTACAGGCATGACACTTCTCTGCATACTACAGTGTGTATTTCCTAAAAATAAGAACATTCTCTTCCGTAACTACAGTGAAATGAGCAAAAACATGAAATTAATATAAATATAATACTATTATCTAAGCGACAGACTCTATTCAAATTTCTCCATTCATCTCAATAATCTCAATTATAGCAAATACACACACACACACACACACACACACACACACACACACACACTTTTTTCTTCCTAGTCCAGAATCATTCTAAGGATCACACATTGCATTTGATTATGTCTTCTTTTCTCATTTAATCTGAAAAAGGCCTTTGAGCTTTTTTTTTTTTTCGCCTTTCATGACCTTGATATATTCATTTGGTAGAATGACTTTGAAATTAGTTATCTATTACATAGTAATGAATTACTCTAAACTTATTGATTTAAAATAAGAATAAAAATTTATTATCTCACAGCTTCTGTGTGTCAGGAATTCAAAATCAGCTTAGCTAGGTGGTTCTGGCTTGAGATCTCTCATGAAACTGCAGTCAAGACATCAGCTAGAACTGCAGCCATCTGAAGGCTTGGCTGGGACTAGAGGGTCCATGTCTAAGATGACTCGCTGACATGGCTGTTTACTGGAGGCATCATATCCTCACCATAAAGACCTCATCATAGGGTTATTTGAGTGTCTTTTTGACATAGTGGCTGATTCTAGTTCTTTTCCCAGAATGTCGGAAACCAGCCGACCAAGTCAAACCAGGTACCTGAATGGGGGAGCGGGGACTGAGAAAAAAGAGAAGACAGACAGTGCAGGAGGGAGAACAGATCTCACAACTGTCTCTCCGAGTTTATTTCTTATGCTCCTTTTTATACATAATCTGTTCCTTTGTGTATCCCAAGATAACATAGTTAAAGTAACATCCTGAAGATCAAGGTACAATCGACACTTCCTTTGACACTCCCTTTGACACTCCCTTTTTCTATACTTAATCTTCTTCTTCCTAGAATTCCACAGAACCAGCCTTTTCCCTTTTTTATGCAAGCAGGCCTCCCGAGATAATCCATGCACTCTTTTGAATTTTGGGAGCTTTAGCTCCCTACATCAGAACAAGAGAAAAATGCAGAAGCCACAATATCTTTTATAATCTATCTTCAGAAGTTACACTATGTCATTCTCACAATATCCTATTGGATACTATGATGGTTAATTTTATGTGTTGACATGACTGGGCTATAGAGTGTCCAGAAATATGGTCAAACACTATTCTGAGGCTTTCTGGGGAGTGTTTTGAATGAGATTAACATATTTTGTAGTGGTAACTAATAGATTTATTTTTATTATTTCCATTTTGTTTTTTTCTCTGGTTTTATTGAGATATAATTGACAATATTATATTAGTTTAAGATATGAAATATCTTAAATGACTTGAAATATATATATCGTGAAATGATTACCACAGTAAGGTTAGTTAATTATCATCATCTACATGTTATATTTTTTCTTATGATGAGAACTTTTAAGATCTATTCTCTTATTGACTTTCAAATATACAATATAGTATTATTATATTGTTAACTATAGTCAACATGTTGTACATTACATCCCCAAAACTTACCTTATAACAGGAAGTTTGTGGCTTTTGACCACCTTCACTCATTTTCCCTACTATCTGCCCTCCATCTTTGGCAACCACCAATCTGCTCTCTGTTCCCATGAGTTCTGTTTTGCTAGATTCTGCACATAAGTGAGATCACTGTATATTTGTCTTTCTCTGTCTGACTTATTTCACTTAGCACAATGCCCTCAAGGTCCATCTAAGTTGTCACAAATGGCAAGATTTTCTTCTTTTTAATGGTTGAATAATATTCCATTATTTGCATGTATTGTATTTTCTTTATCCATTTATCCATCTCTTCGAGATAGTGATTTCTTTTCCTTCAGATATATCCCCAGAAGTGAAATTGCTGGATCATATGGTAGTTCTATTTTTTTGTGTGTGGTTTTTACATGTTAACATTTTTCAGTTTTTAAAAACTTCTCACATTTTATTTATATTTTGAATCTATTCTGTGTTTCCTGCAGACAGAATATAGTTCTTGCATTTCATGCACTCAGAAAACATGCGTATTTTGATTGAACTTTTTAATCTGGTAAACATTTAATTTTATTGTTCATATATTTGGATTTATGTCTTCCATTTTTATTTCTTTTTTCTTCTTTTTTTTTTTTTTTTAAATTTTTTGAGGAATTGCCATACTGTTTTCCATAGTGGCTGCACCAATTTACATTCCCATCAATAGACTCCAAGGGTTCCCTTTTATACATACCCTCTCCAACACTTGTTATCTCTTATCTTTTTGATGCTAGCCATTCTATCAAGTGTGAATATATATCTCACACTTGATGATTAGTGATGTTGAACAACTTTGCATTTTTACCGTTCAGAGCTTTTAGTTTGGTGTAGTCGCACTTGTTTATGTTTGCTTCTGTTGCCTTTGCTTTTGTTGTCAAATGTGAAAAATCATTGCCAAGACCAATGTCAAGGAGCTTACCCCCTATGTTTTCTTCTAGGAGTTTAATGTTTTTAGGTCTTATGTTCAAGTCTTTAATCCATTTTCTGTTGATTTTTTGTTTATATAGTAAGATAGCAGTACAGTTCCATTCTTTTGCATGTGACTGTCAAGTGGGACCGACACTATTTATTGAAAATATCATCCTTCCCTCATCTATATTCTTGTCTCCTTTTTCATAAATTAATTGACCCTGTATTCTTGGGTGTATTTCTAGATACTCTATTCTATTTCATTGATCTATATATCTCTTTTTATGCCAATACCATACTGTTTTGATTTTTATAGCTTTGTGATATAGTTTGAAATCAGAAAGTGTGATGCCTCCAGCTTCGTTATTCCTTCTCAAGATTGCATTGACCACTTGGGGTCTTTTGTGGGTTCCATACAAATTTTAGGATTTTTTCTATTTATGTGAAAAATGTTATTGGAATTTTTATAGGGATTGCATTGGATCTGTAGATCACCTTGGGTACTATGGACATAACAATATTAATTCTTCTTATCCATGAGCACAGAATATCTTTCCATTTTTTGGTATCTTCTTCAATTTCTTTCATCAGTGTCTTAGTATAGATATTTTAACTCCCTGACTAAAGTTTTTCCTAAGTATTTGATTTTTTGTGATGCAATTGTAAATAATATTGTTTTCTTATTCTCTTTCTGATAGTTTGTTGTTAGCGTATAGAAATGTAATATATTTTTGTATCCTGAAACTCTATTGAATTTATTATTAGTTCTAAGAATTTTTAGTAGAGTCTTTAGGGTTTCTATATATAATATCATGTCATCTGCAAATAGACACAGTTCTACTTTTTCCTTTCTGATCTGAATGCCTCTTATCTCTTGTTCTTGACTGATTTAAATACCTCTTTTTTTTTTTTTTTGATGAATTACTCTGACTAGGACTTCCAGTATAAAGTCCATTTACACTTAAAGTAATTATTGAGAGATATGGACTTACTATTGCTATTTTGTTCATTGCTTTCTGCTGTTTTGTAGTTCCTGTGTTCTTTTCTTCTCTTTATCTCTTTGTGACTTAATGATTTTCTGTAGTAGTATGCTTAGACTCCTTTTTCTTTATCTTTTGTGGATCTATTATAGAGTTTCGCTCCTTGGTTACCATGAGGCTTATATAAAACACTTTAGATTTATAACTGCCTATTTTTATCTGATAATAACTTGTTTGAACACATGCTAAAGTTCTATATTTTTACTCTCCTCCGCTAATGCTTTATGTTTTTGACATCATCATTTACATTTTTTACCTGTGTATCCACTAACAAATATTATATAGTTATTTTTATTACTTTTGTCTTTTTACGTTCATACTAGATTTATAAGTGATTTATCTACCACCATTACAACATTAGAGTATTCTGAATTTAATTATATATTTATCTTTACCAGATTTATAAGTTCATATGTTCTGTTACTATTTTGCACCCTTTTATTTCAGCTTGAAGAAGTTCTTTTAACATTTTTTGTAAGACTGGTCTTGTTGTTATTAATTACTTCATCTTTTGCATGTCTGGAAATCTCTATCTCTCCTTCAATTCTCAAGGACAGCTTTGCTGGGTAGAGTATTCTTGGTTGGAAGGTTTGTTATTTTTCCCCAGCACTTGAGTATATCATGCCACTCCCTTCTGGCTAGAAGTTT